CTTTTCACAGCTATTTCTTGCCCATTTCTCAACTTTCCCTAATTGGATTAATAAAATATCCTTAACATTTTTATAAATATTGATAAATGTATTTCAACTACAGAAGAAAAAAAAACTACAATTTAAACTTTATTTGCTCACTAGAAAGTCACAATTGCGTATGAAGGCCTTTAGCGAAATATCGTTCGCCTTTTTTACCCTTTAAAATTAATTTTATACTGGATAAAATAGTCATTTAAATTATTTTACAAATATATAGGACTTGAAAGTTAATTATATTTTGTGTATTAAATGCTTCCTTATTTAAACTATGTAAGAATCCTAATATTTAGGACTTAATAATTAAACTTTTACCTTATATAAATCATTAAAAAGAAAGAAAAAAAATCAACAACATACGTTTACTGTGTTTTTCTCCCCTACCTTTCATTAACAAGAGATACACTATCTATTACATTAATTCAACGGTACCAATAAAATACTACTATCAATGAATAAATGCTTACCTTTTAGAACTTAAAACTAACGACTATTTATCTCATCTAAACCTTGATATTTATAAATAAAAACAAAATTTGTAGTCCCTTAAATATGTGTTAATTAATATAAAAATATTTTATTGAGTATTTATTTAATTATTTTCCTAATATTAAGGAGTTTGAAATTTAATTAAAATTAAAAAAAATCTTTTTTGAACTCTTCAGAAAGTCCTACTATTTAGAGTTTGCATTATGTAAATCTTACACTTAAAATTATATATAAATGATAAACAAAATACATAAAGGAAAGAATAAAAAGTTTAAAGAGAGGACATACGTGTTCTTAGATAATAGCAGTCCACATTTTAACAACTTTCTTATGTTTTCATTTATATACAATTATTTTTAGATTAAAATATTTTAAAATACACATGACTATTTACTAAAAATAATATTTATATTATATTATTAACTTTCAAAATTTATAAATGAAGTACAATTAATTGGAATGTTGAGCAAATCATTAATAAACACATATTTTATCAATTATTCCAACAAGATAATTTAAGAGATATTTTAGTTTTTAATTAATGATACATTTAGATGAATATAAATGAATTTTTAACTACAGTAATTGTGATTTCTAAAGTGAACTCGATTTTTAAATTTTATTCCTCTCATATAGTGATTCTTGATGAAAGATTCTTATTGAATTAAAATATAATAATAATCAAACATTTAAATTTATTATGAGCTACCATGACGAATTTGAATCAACAAAAATAACTTATGTTATTTTGAGAAAAAATAAAGTACTTGAAGTAATTAATTAGCAATAAAATCTAATTCAATTCTTTTTCAAATTCATCATAAAGTAAAAAACATTCAAGCTGACATGACTTTTTGTCGGCTACATAAATGTGTTTCCATAAATAGACTACTAGTGATGAAAGAAATCAAAAAATAGATCAAAACCGATTTCAGTATATTAGTAAAGTTGACTTGATTAAAATTTTAAACTAGAAGAAACAAGAATAAAAGTATAGAAGACAAAATGGATTCAAAATTAGTTGATATTAAATATATTATTTTCTTTTTTCATCAATTCCAACAAATAGCCCTCTGTAATTTTTTATACATTAGTAATTTGTTATAAAATATTCCCTCAATATTAGTCACTTCCAGACTTTATATTGTCACTTAATTATCCTTTTTTTAAAAAAAAAATTATATGACCAACCACTTTATTCTGAATTTTTAAAAGAAAGATATATTTTTTAAAAATTTGTGTTAATTAGATGATTCTCTGAAAATTTATGATAAAAATATATAATAAATATTTGGTCATTTGTTACGGAAGAAATGTGACACCATAGTATTCTATTGGTACTTATATCTCTTGTGCGAATGCGGGTTGAATTTTGGATAACATAATGACTACTTTTATGAGGTAGGCTGAGTTAGTTTAATAATAACAGAATCTATCATTTTCAGGACTTAATTTTTTCTTTATATTTTTCTAACTCAAGTATATTCTTTGATAATATTTATGTAGTTTCAAAAAAGTCTACATTTACAGTGAAAATATACGCGCAACACGCGTACCCTAAAACTAGTATATATATAATTAACTTATTAAGTTTTAATTTTTGGGAACAATGATCATTGACCCTTTCTAAAACCGGTAAATCAGGAGGTTAAAGGGAGAAGAACTTGCCTTTTTAGAATTAAAAAAGTAATACCTATAAAACAATTTGATTAGTTGCTTTTATGAAGAAGTTGACTACAGGCTCAACATGCTGCTAGTTTAAACGTGACAAGCTGGCCGAGCTGACCATGAATTGGCTCAGCCAATGTGGGACCTGCTCGGTCCGGATCCCTAAGCTTCACAGATCTAGTGGCGGAATCCGAAATTTATCCAAAAGAATTTAGTAAAAATAGTAAAATATCATACTTGACATTTGAACATATATATGACTTAAAAATAAATTTTGAACGCTCTTGGCTATCGGAGTATTTCCTAATGTTAAAGGGATTACAAAAATTATTTATAACTAAAAAGATTGTTTTCCGGCAACAATTAAAGTTGTCTCAGTATGATGTACAAGTTACAGGTTCGAGCCGTGTGGAAGCAGCCATTAATGCTTACATTAGCATAGGTGTCTACATTATACTCCTATGGTGCGACCCTTCCTAGGACCCTGGATGAATGTAAAATACTTTGTACATCGAGCTGTCGTTTTTATTGTTTTGCAATATTTGTACGGTATTATTTTTTAATGAAGGAAACTCGATTGAACCCTTTCCTCTATCTAGCTTCGTGCTGCATATAGCCTGAGGGTTAAGCATAGCTACTACAATAATAATAACAATAATAATCACGCCTCAATACTCGCTATTTAACAAGTCAAATCTTGAAAAATATGTCAAAATGTTAATTACCTTGTAAACAGGTCCATATCCACCTCGGCCAAGCTCATTGTCAGCTGAAAAATTATTTGTGGCTGCCTTCATCTCTTCAAAAGTGAATACATGCAAGCTGCTGCTCTCTCCACCTCTTCTATCTTCATTTTTGCTTCCAATTTTGTTCCTTGGAATTCTTCCTATTTCCAATTAATATTCGGTTAAACACCGACATAAAAAGAAATGTAAAGAGAAGAAAATGAAAAAGACCCCTTATGCATCTACAATGTAACGATGCCAACAAATATTAAAAAAAATAAAAATTGAGAGAGTTTACAATAATTATAATTACTTGGAAGTTGGTGTAAATAAAGAGAAAATGACATTGTATAACCGATCTCAAAATAATATTCAAATATATATATACACACACATTTTGTATGTTATATATAAATTTTATACAATTTTTCGACTACCAAAGACAAATAACTTATGGCGCGAGCAAAAAGTGAATACTCCTACAATAAATCCAAGTTTCCATTAGAATAAAATTAACTATGTAGTTTGGGTGCTATTATACAAAAGCAGAGTTTACACTGTGTATACCCGAAGGGCCGCGGCTGTGGGTTCCAAAACAAAAGTAAAGAATTACCTTGGAACTTCAATAGTCGTCTCCTTCTAAGACACCACAGTGTAAAGACAAGCAACAACAAGATCAATACTGCTCCAACTGGAATCAAAATGAAAATCACTCGATTGAATTTTTTCTTCTTGTGCATTCCTGGTTGATCAATTACTCCTTCTTGGATATCTTCAACTTCTAAAAATGTAAACAAATTGTAAAGACATTCATTCATATATAAAGCAAGAATTGAATAACAAATAAATAATGTGATTATCCGAGCCCGAAGAGCGTCTTGATAAGGAGCGTTTTACACAAGGGCAGAGCTACAACCAGCGAATGGTGGTTAGTTGACACCCTTCGCTAGAAAATTATACTGTATATATATGTCAAATATTACTTTTTATACATATATATATATATATGAAATCTTGAACAAAAATAAAAAAAAGCAGTCCACTGCACAAGACATCCCGCATTCACGTAGAGTCCGGGAAGGGCCGCACCCAAGGGGTCTGATATAGACAGTCTACCCTAATGCAAACATTAGTGGCTGCCTCCACGGTTCGAACCCGTGACCTAGAGGTGACATAGAAATAACATTATTGTTCCTCCAAGGCTTCCCTTAAATATGAAATCTTGAACGGTCTTAGCAAAATTCTTGGTTTCCCCTTAGTTGATTTACTAGATTCATATTTAATCTGGATTAATCGGCCAGTGTATTCCGGGTACACTAAATGTGCAAAAGAAGAATGTCATAATTGATTATTACCTCCTGCAGCAGCCTGAGAAAGTGCAGAATTCCAATCATATGAGACTTGCCATGCCACATAGCCTCTCAAATGCTTCTCTTTTGCATATGCAACTTTGGTTTTCACTGCCTCAACATCATCAAAACCAACCCAACTTGTCTCAACAGAGACATAATTCATCACATAAGTTGCATTATACGATGCATTATTAGCTCGATATTTTATCATACCTCTCTTAATATCATTGAATCTTAACCAACTACTTATACTCGAAAACGGCTCATTTTCAGCTTCAGCACCAAACGAATAATCTTTAGGCCCTGGTCCTGTTCCTGTCGCGCCAATTTTATTATCTTTAGGACTAGCCAATGTCCATACATAACCATAAAAGGGAAATCCCAAAACAAGTTTTTGAGTTGGAAAACCTGATTTAATCCATGCATTTATACCATAATCAGTGTTCAAATCACTATTCGAATCGTATAATGCTGCAACTGGAGATGTATTATTTGTTGACTCTGGATTATAATAATCAAAGGCAAAAACATGTACCCAATCCAAATATTTCCTCATTGACTCAATTGGGAAACTCAAATCTTGAATCCAGGGTGTGTATTGAACAGCCATGGTCAATAAAAGTTGTGATTTTTTCGAGTTTTTGGACTCGAAATCAATAGCAATTCTCCAATCATCCAAAAGGGTACCCAAATTCGTCATTTCTTGTGACGAACTAGGTGAAATCCAACAAAAATCTAGTCCATCAAATCCGTAAAGACGAGCGATTTTGATGGAAGATTCAATAAAGAATTTTCTTCCAGAAAAATAGGTACTTGACATTAATAAGTAAATACCTGAGTCATAAGAAGATTGGTCTTTTCCACCAATTGATAAGAGAGTCTTAAGAGATGGATTCTTTTTCTTGACTATGTTATTGAAGTTTTTCAATTGTTCATCATCTGATATTGAGACAATCATTTGGTCTGTTGATGTATTGAAGTCAATATTAGCAAAGCCATAGATGAGGTGAGTGTAAAGAGTTGAATTGATGCTTTGGATATTTGGAGAGTAAGATATATCATTAGCTTGATAATAACCAGCTTTTATCCAAGTTTCTGCTGCTATGGAATTGTGTAGTTGAGATTGGAAAATTGTGTGGAAGAAGAAAAGAATGATAATGTTTTTGAATGCCATAGAAGAGCTAGAAGAATGAGCTACATTAACTCACTAGAAAAGCTTAACTTATATACAATTATATACATGAGTCGTTGATAATATGAGTAATTTTATACTACAACAATAACAACTCAGTATAATCCCACTAGGGGTCTGGGGATGGTAGTGTGTATGCAGACCTTACCCCTACCCTGGGGTAGAGATGCTGTTTAATTCCGATAGACCCTCGGCTCCCTCCCTTCAAGAACTCCCCACCTTGCTCTTGGGGTGACTCGAACTCACAACCTCTTGGTTGGAAGTGGATGGTGCTCATTACTAGAGCAACCCACTAATAGTAATTTTATATTATAAGTGTAATTTAAACTGTCATAAGAAAATGCATGTTTTATCTCTTAGGTAAATAGTATTAGTGTAATATATTTAAACCGCTGTAACAAAATACATGCTTTGTCTTTTAGGTAAATATATTCACTTGTTATAGGAAGGGGAGCCTTGGAGCAATGGTAGAGTTGTATTCGTGTGACATCTAGGTCACGAATTCGAGTTGTGGAAGCAACCACTAATACTTGCATTAGGATGGACTGTCTACATCACACCCTTTGAGGTGCGCCCTTTTCCCGCATCCTATGTAAATACGGGATGCATTATGCACTTAGTTTCACTTATTATAGATTGTTGTGCAGTGACAACTCAACATACAAACTTGATGGGTTCTACATTTAAGGTTCTAGCACTAAATCCTAAGTATTTTCAAAATTATGGGTTTAAATACAATTATATTAAAATTTTAGTGGATTTTCACATATATATATACTTCCTTCGTTCACTTTAATTGTCCACTATGGATTTTGCACACTCCTTAAAAAATAATAAATTATGTGCATAATTTACCATGATACACATATTAATTGATGCATATTTTTAGTGGATTTGAAAAAATAATTTGAAATGAGTAATTAATACTATGGGTATAACATGAAAAAAATTTGTCATTCTCTTGATATGCGAAAAGTGACAAGTAAAAGTGAAAATCTATTTTTAGAATACTAGACCAGTAAAAGTGAACGAATGGAGTATATTTTAAGGAGGTTTACCTATAAATATCATATGAGCATAGGCGGATCCACGATTTAAACTTTATGGGTTCAGATTCACAAATCTATTACATCTCATCTAATTTAATGGGTTCAAAATTTATTATTTGTATATATTTAATAATTTTTTGGGTAAAAATACAAAGTATGAGCAGAAACGATGTGTTAAGTTGAACCCGTAACTTCTATACTAGATACGCCTATGCATCTTAGTGACGTGATAATGTAAAAAATTCTCGTTAAAGCAACACTTGATATTTTATCGAAAAGATAGATAATCAAAATTTAGAAGGAATATACATCAAGGTGTAGTTGACAATATCATACTTAGCTTGGAGAATATAAAAGAGAGCAAGTTGGTAAAAGAGTACTATTTTCAGCATAATTCATTGGAGACCTATGGCTATTTGACAAAATACTTTACTTTGTATGAGAATGAAAATGTACATTTTATGTGAATATTAACCTATTGTACAAGTTAGTGATTTACTTACATAATTTTTAGGTTGCTGGTTTGATCTTCATTTATTAAAGATTGTTGACTATATTTATGCATTAAGTGATATAATAGTGTAAAATTTATTTTCAGCATATAAAAGTTAAACTTGTGTGTATACATTGTTTTTTTCCTCTTATATGTATATATTGCTTTAACATAAATAAGAGTTGTGGCGTGATGGATATGATGAGGACAAAGATCACTTTTAGCCTGCAATCANATATATATAATAGGAGTATATTATTTTCGTTATTATTTTGAGAGTGACTATATAGTGTTATTTTCCGGATATGATACCTCTATCCTTAACTAGAAGTATGAAGTTTGAGTGCTAGTTGTGAAAAAATTCTAGTATGAAACGCTTCCCCTTTAACGAGCTTAAGCGATGTAAATTCTAATTAATCGGGACATTAATAAAATAAAATAAAAAATCAGACTTTCACGTCCAAAAGGGCGAAATATGTCGCCCGCGTTTTCTTTATTTTCCATTAATGGCTGTTTTAGTCAAACTTTAGCTGCCGTAGCGCATGCTATGCTAAGTCAATGCAACTATAAGAGAGGACTTGACTAAAGTAAATTATATTATTTGAACAATTCTGTAAAGGTAAGTAAATTCTTTTCCAAATAATAGACAGCTAAAAGTGACAAATTTGTGATTTAAATATTAAGTCCTTTCTCAAATATTTTCTTTTTACCTCAACTTATTTTTCAATTATTAAACTTTCCATTGACGATGGTGCAGTTGACTTTGATATATTATTATTGCAAACAATCCAATGGGCATATATCATTTAAATGTTGTTATGTGTTATGAAATAAAAACAATTTAGTAAAATATGAACAAGAAATGTTGTTATGAAATAAAAGTAATTTAGTAAAACATTAACAAGAAATGGAGATAGAGAGAAGGAAGAGATTTCTTCTTCAATTGTGTATATCTATTCCTATCTATTATAAGGCCTTTATATAGGCATGAAAAGTGAAGGATCACTATTGCAAAATATGTCATTGAATATGTCACTAAGCATTTGAGAGGAAGATCGTGGAGGGGGTTATGGAGTTACAATCATAACTCCATAATTATTAGAAAGTATTGGGAGTTATGGAGATAATGGAGAATAGACTGTAACGACCCGACTTGTCGTTTCAAGAATTTAAGTCCCATTCGGCGGCATAAGGCCCGGAGCAGCTTCGTATTATGCGTATTGACTTGCGTGTGTGGTTGAATTCAGTTACCGGATGATTCAAAGTGATTTGGGACACTTGGTCCCTAAAAAGGAAGTTTAAGTCTTAGGATTTTGACCGTAGTCAGAACTGCATGAAGATGACTCCGGAATGTAGTTCTGTCGGTTTCGTTAACTCTGTATGATGATTTTGGACTTAGAAGCGTGTTCGAAAAATTATTTGGAGGTCCGTAGTGGAATTAAGCTTGAAATGGCGAAACTCAAAAGTTTGAAAAGTTTGAACGGGGGTTAACTTTTTGATATCGGGGTCGGAATCCGATTTCAAAAGTTGGAGTAGGTCCATAATATCGAATGTGACTTGTGTGCAAAATTTTAGGTCAATCGGACGAAATTTGATAGGTTTCGGCATCGATGGTAGAAGTTGAAGTTTCAAAGTTCGCTAAGTTTGAATTAGGGTGCGATTCATGATTTCGATGTTGTTTAATGTGATTTGAGGTTTCAAGCAGGTCCGTGTTATGTTATGGGACAGGTTGGTATGATTGGACAAGGTCCCGAGGGGCTCAGGTGTATTTCGGGGTGGTTTCGAACCAAATTGGAGCTGTTTGGACTGTTATTACTGAAGTCTGGCTTCCTTCTTCGCGAACGCGAAGGGAGTCCTGCGTTCGCGAAGAGGAATTTGAGGGGCTGATGGTTCGTCCTTCACGAACGCGAAGAAGGAGCATGGAAAGCCTTCGCGAACGCATCCAAGGCAACGCGAACGTGAAGAAGAAAGGAAGAGTTAGGGCTGAGGTCCGTGTGACCTTCGCGAACGCGAACGCGAAAGAGCTGGTCAGCTGGTCATCGCGAACGCGACAAGAAGGTCGCGAATGCGAAGAGGAAATGATGGGGCAAGAATAGTTGGCCTTCGCGAATGCGACTCTGGTCACGCGAACGCGAAGAAGGATTTGAGGCAGCTGGGTTTTTGGCCTTCGCGGACGCGAAGAAGGTATATCTAAGCAGAATTAAAAGTCTCAAAAATGGGGGTTTGAGTTCATAACTCAAAATCAAATTGGGAGCTCGGTAAAAGGCGATTTGTGGAGATTCTTTCATGGGTGTTTGGGGTAAGTGATTCTTATCCCGCTTTGATTAATTTTCATGATTATGTCTTTGAATCCATCATTTAATTCGGATTTAATGGAGGAAAATCAAGATTTTTGAAAAATCTTTCAAAAACGAAAATTTAAGATTTGGAAGTCGAGTTGTTATTGGAATTCGATAAAATTGGTATGGTTGAACTCGTATCGGAATGAGTGTTAGGATTTCATGAAAATTATGTCGCGTTCCGAGGGGCGGGCCCCGCGTTGACTTTTTGGAATAAATTTTTAAGTCGACATATTATTATTCGAAATTATTTTCGACGAATTTTAATGAAGTTATGCAATTAATTTGGGTAGATTTGAGCGTCCGGAGGTCAATTCGAGCAAGAAGGCGATTTTGGAATATCGGCCTAACTTCAAAAAGGTAAGTGTCTTGCTTAACCTCGAGTGGGGGAATTACCCCTTAGGCATCGAGTCTTATGTGCCATTTGTGAAATGTGAAAAGCCGTGTACGCGAGGTGACGAGTACGTACTCAGGCTTATATGTGTAAATTTTATTGAGTTAAAGTCTTGAGTATATTGTGTGGTAAATTGGATTATTGTTGGTATATATTTAATCATCAATTTGTCGTGCCTAAATCCTTGTTGTTGAATCTGTTGTTATATGACAATTTGATGTGATTGTTACTTGATTATTTATGTAATTCCGTTAATTTATTGGTTTGATAATTATTGGAATTTAATTTCATTATGGATTTTCCATCTTCAAATAATTAATTAAATGAGTTTAAGAAGAGGTGTTTATATAATTATTAAAAATTTGAATTTAATGAAGACTTTGCTTTATGTTGAGTAATTTCTATCTCTATTGATTGTTTTTGGGTGTTGTGCACCTTATGGTCGAGCCATGGACTCCTTATTGTGGAAAATAATATATTGTTGATTTCTGTGACAAGTTGTAATATTTGGGCACTTGATGTGCAATTTGTGATATGTTGTAAGATTTGAGCACTTGATGTGCAATTTATGATATGTTGTAAGATTTGAGCACTTGATGTGCAATTTGTGATATGTTGTAAGATTTGAGCACTTGATATGCAATCTGTAATATGTTGTAAGATTTGAGCACTTGATGTGCAACTTGTGAAATGCTGTAATATTTGGG